TGCATGGGTCACTGGTGCCCTTATCCAGCAGTCACAGTGCGAGGGGCGGGGTACACCCTGGACAGGTCGCAAGTCCATCAATTTAGACAATTTAGAGTTATCAATTAACCTAACAGTCATGTTTTTGGTCTGTGGGAGGAAGCCGGAGTACCCGGAGAGAACCCACGCATGCACGGAGAGAACATGCAACATCCAGTAATGAATTTCTCAAATATAATTTTAAGTACCAAGAGAAAGCAACTACATTATTTTTATAGGTAAAACATTGCATTTATGCATTCTGAAAATTAGTTGTGACAAAGCAAGCATTAAAAAACGATGAAGTAGGCTAAAATTGTCGCTGTTTGGTTGCAGAAATTTGTTTGATGCGTCCATTTTTGAAACTGGACTACTGTCTCCAGGTCCTGCAGTTACTGGAACAGCAGCAACTGCCCAGTCCCAGATTCTAATGTGCTGTGAGTCAGATAGGTTTTTACACCTACCAGACTGGTGCAACCTCACCACGCTGGATGCAGCCTCCCCTAAGATGTGTAAATCCAGTGGAGTCAGGTCCAGTAGGACTTCCATGGCTGCCGTGGGTGTTGTTCTAATGGAACCTGTGATACTCAGGCAAGCCATGCATTGCACATGGGTTAGCATCACTCTTGCCACCCCTACTTGAACTCGAACCCACCACACTAAAGCAGCATGGCATAGCATGGGGCGGACTATGGCCGTGTAAATCCATCTGATAACCTTTAGGGTAGCACCCCAACGACTACCTGCAATTCTACGGCACTGGTATAGGCACATTGCTGCCTTCTTACACTTTTCATTTACGTGYCTTTTCCAGTTAAGCTCCCTGTCTAGATAGACACCCAAGAACTTAACTGACTCTGACAGGAAGAGTTCTACACCCTTCAAATTTGGAGGTGAGTAATGCTTCCTTGACTTCTTGTGAGTGAAAAGAACCAATTCTGTCTTGTTCGGGTTGACAGAAAGTTCTGTTCCCGGCACCATCTGGATACTATATTTAGTCCCCTCTGCATTATGTTACAAACAGTACCCAGGCAGAAGCCTTCTATAAGTATGACCAAGTCATCTGCATATCCTTGTGTRTGAAGTCTAGATCTATTTAACTCACTTAGTAGGCTGTCAACAACCAGGAGCCAACACAGGGGCGAGATTACTCCTCCCTGTGGACAGCCCCGTCTGAGGTTTACGGTTATCGAACAGTCCCCCAGAGTTGAAGATGCTTTCCTTGTCCGAAGCATGAAAATGAGCCAGTTTGTAGTTGTCTCATCCACACCTTTACTGGCAAGTGCTCTTTCTATAACTTCTACAGGAACATTGTCAAATGCCCCTTGTATGTCCAAAAAGCAGCCTAGTGCATATTGTCCACGTGCCAGGCTGTGTTCTATTCTCAAAACAATATCATGTAAGGCTGTTTCTGTAGAAAGACCTGCCAGATATGCATGTTGTTTAGGACTTAATGTTGATAGCATTAAAATACCATTTCTTACATGACGATCTAATAAACTCTCCATTCCCTTCAGCAAGAAAGATGTTAAGATGTGATATTATATGTTTTATTTCTACTAAGGTGGGCTAAATATATTTTTGTCATACACTTGGACTTGTTCTGAGATGACATTTTAGA